AAAGACTGTAGATTTCTTTTTCTTCTGGTACCAAGGTTGATTTCGGTGTCAACACGCTAGAGTGGGTTGAAGTGGGCTTTGACACTGATGCTGAAGGCTTCAGTTTAGATGTCTGTTTAGCCTTCTTAGTGGAGTGAATCAGAGAGTTTGAAAGATAGGTGAAGCCTCTGTAGTTTGGGCCTGGTTTGATTCCATGGTCAAGCACAAAGGCGGTTGAAGAGATTTTTCCCAGAGGAAAGATCTTAGCCACTGGAAGTGAAGTTTAAGCACTGGCTTTTCAAATTTTCACAGGCCTGACATGAAGTAGTTTGGTGTGCCTCACCCGAGTAGAAGAGGCACTGGGAAATGCCCATCAGATATAATTATATTATTTGGGCAAGACTCACATTGCTGAAGGGGCCTGAAGAGACCATAAAAGAGCAGAGGGCCCAGGTGGAAAAGGGCGGGGAAAAGATAAGGTTACTTACCTGTAACCATAGTTCTTCGAGTGGTCCTCTGTGAATTCACACATATAAGTGTTGTCTGCACCTGCGCTGACATTCTCAGAAGATTCTAGAGCTGAAAGTAACAATTTAGCAGCAAAAAAGCAACTGAGGCACTCTGTGCCATGGGCAGGGCAAGCGTGACGGGAGGGAGGTCCTAATGGACACATGTCAAAGCTCTAGAACAGGGGTGTCCAACCTTTCACCTTCCCTGGACCACATTAGAAGATGGAAATTTGGTTTGGGCCGCACATAAATTTTTGGGGGGCCACATGGGGGGCAGCCCTAGCCGTCCTCTGCAGCCCCGCTCCAAGCGCGCTTACCGGCAGCTGCGATCTCAGACAGCAGAGGCTGCCAGCTTTGACTCCAGTGGCTTTAAGGGGCCGGGAGGGGGTCCACCTATTGACGGGGACAGCACAATGCAGTCACACAGCCCCCCTCTCCCCTCCCCTCCCGCTCCTTCCTTCCCTCTCTCCCCCTCTACTGTTGTGACATGCCCCGGCCACATTCCAGCCGCAAGCACCCGCAGTGTAACTTGAAACTTTGGAATTTCTTTAAAAATAAAAAATTGCACTGGGCCGCATGACAAGCCGCCCTGTGCCGCATGCGGCCCATGGCCCGCAGGTTGGACAAGCCTGCTCTAGAAGTTTCCGAGAGCTTCTGTGCAGGAGCAATGAAGCCAACTTGTGTGCATTCACAGAGACCACGAAGAAAAAACCTGGCACTTATCCCTATTTGATACCATTCTACTGTTTTCGGTCCTTTGCTTGCATCTATCAAAATCTTTTTGAATTTTGTTTCTGTCTTCCAAGGTATTAGCTATTCCACCCAATTTTGTGTCATCTGCAGGTTTGATAAATACTCCCTGCACTCCCTCATCCAAGTCATTAACATAAATGTTGAAGAGTATTGGGCCCAGGACTAAGCCTGTGGTACACCACTTTTTATTTCCTCCCAGTTTGAGAAAGATCTGTTGTTAACCACTCCAAGCACGATTCTGAAACCAACCGTGTCTCTACCTGACAGTTGTTCTATCAAGCGCCAAGCTAACCTGATTCGCTTGCTGAAGTCAAGATACATTACTTCATGAGGGTGAACTTAATCTAGACAAGACAGAGTTGTTCCTGGTCAGTCAAAAGGCAAAGTAAGGAACAGAGATGGATGGAGTTATACTCCCTTTGTTAACACAGATGTGCAGCTTGGAGTTGTTCCTTGGTTCTTCTCTGAGTCCAGGTGCCCAGGTTTAACTAGTGGCTAGGAGTGACTTTGCATAGTCAAAACTAGTAGGGCAGCTTCACCTGTTCCTGGAGAGCTCTGATCATGGTGATACATGCCTTAGGTACAGTATATCACAGAAGTAAGTACCCTCCCTCGCATTTGATAAATATTTGAGTACACCTTTTCATGTGTCAACACTGAAGAAATGACACTTTTCTACAATGTAAAGCAGTGAGTATACAGTTTCTGTAACAGTGTAAATGTGCTGTCTTCTCAAAATAACGCAACACACAGCCATTAATGTCTAAACCGCTGGCAACAAAAGTGAGTACACCCCTGACAATGTCCAAATTGGGCCCAAGTAGACGTTTTCCCACCTTGGTGTCATGAGACCTGTTAGTATCACAAGTCTCAGGTGTGAAGAGGAAGCAGGTGTTATCACGATCACTCTCTCAGATTGGTCACTGCAAGTTCCACATGGCACCTCATGGTGATAAACTATCTGAGGATCTGAAAAAACAAATTGTTGTTCTACATAAAGATGGCCTAGGCTGTAAGATTGCCAAAACCCTGAAACTGAGTTGCAGCATGGTGGCCAAGACCATACAGCGGTTTAACAGGACAGGTTCCACTCAGAACAGGCCTCGCCATGGGTGACCAAAGAAGCTGAGTGCCCATGCTCAGCATCATATCCAGAGGTTGGCTTTGGGAAATAGATGTATGAGTGCTGCCAGCATTGCTGCAGAGGTTGAAGGGGTGCGGGGTCAACCTGTCAGTGCTCAGACCATATGCTGTACACTACATCAAATTGGTCTCCAGGGCTGTCATCCCAGAAGGAAGCCTCTTCTAAAGATGATGCACAAGAAAACCCGTATACTTTTTGCTGCAGACAAGCACACTAAGGACATGCATTTCTGGAACCATGTCCTGTGGTCAGATGAGACCAAGATAAATTTATTTGGTTCAGATGGTGTCAAGCGTGCGTGGTGGCAATTAGGTGAGGAGTACAAAGACAAGTGTGTTGTGCCTACAGTCAAGCATGGTGGTGGGAGTGTCATGGTCTGGGGCTGTATGAATGCTGCCGGCACTGGAGAGCTACAGTTGATTGAGGGAACCATGAATGCCAACATGTACTGTGACATACTGAAGCAGAGCATGATCCACTCCCTTTGGAGACTGGGCCACAGGGCAGTATTCCAACATGATAACAACCCCAAACACACCTCCAAAATGACCACTGCCTTCCTAAAGAAACTGAGGGTGATGGACTGGCCAAGCATGTCTCCAGACCTAAACCCTATTGAGCATCTGTAGGGCATCCTGAAATGGAAGGTGGAGGTGCGCAAGGTCTCTAACATCCACCAGCTCTGTGATGTTGTCATGGAGGAGTGGAAGAAGACTTCAGTGGCAACCTGTGAACTCTATGCCCAAGAGGGTTAAGGCAGTGCTGGAAAATAATGGTGGCAACACAAAAGATTGACACTTTGTGCCCAATTTGGACATTGTCACTTAGAGTTGTACTCACTTTTGTGCCAGAGGTTTAGACATTAATGGCTGTGTGTTGCGTTATTTTGAGGGGACAGCACATTTACACTGTTATACAAGCTGTATACTTGCTGCTTTACATTGTAGCCAAGTGTCATTTCTTCAGTGTTGACACATGAAAAGGTGTACTAAAATATTTATGAAATGTGAGGGAGTGTACTTACTTCTGTGATATACTGTACCTAAGGCATGTATCACCATGATCAGAGCTCTCCAGGAACAGGTGAAGCTGCCCTAAATGTGAGGGGGTGTACTCACTTCTGTGGTATACTGTACATAATGGTTGGATTACTATAATACAGTGTACATCGTGCTGCCTTTGCAAAGTGTTCAGAACGTTCAGGATTACCATAACACAGTTGTAGCGTTCTCCATTTATTAGATCTATGGTTCTTCCTGTTTTATGTAATAGTTAATGAATATTCATGTTGCTGAGAGGCGGAGCCAAGAGAGATGCTATAAGAGGCGGAGTCAGAAGTCAGTTTAAGTCAGATTGAGTCAGTTAGAGAAATGTAAGAGTCTGGCAGGAGAGAAAAGCCAGACAGAGTAATAGTGTGTGTAGTTTGGGAAATTTAGATGTGATTAACTACTGAAGATATTTATGAATCTCTGTAATCAATAAACCAGATTTTTATATAAAAGAACTTTAAGTGTGGACCTGAATCTATCTGAAGTAACGGTGGTTTAGAGATCACCTGGTGGCAGCAAGTGAAAAGAGTGAGGTTGGTTTACCTTCGTGTGCTCTGAGGCTTGAAGGTCAAGCAAGGGGCACGAGGGTGGACGCCACAACAGTGTACATGGGGCTGCCTTTGCAAAGTGTTCAGAACATTCAGGGTGTCCAAAAAGCTGCAACCAGATTACTGACTGGGGCTGGTTACAGGGATTACTTAACACCCCCACCCCCAAACCCCCATTACAGCAGCTCCACTGGCTGCCAATCCATTTCCAGTCACAATTCAAAGTGCTGGTTGTAACCTATAAAATCCTAAATGGCTGGGGTCCAACCTATCTCAAGGGTTATGTCTCCTTTTATGAGCCTGCTTGGTTAGTAAGATCATCAGGGAAGCCACTTCTGGTCTCACTACCTTCATAAGTGCATTTGGTGGAGAAATGGGAGACGGCCTTCTCTATCTATGCTCTCAGACTCTGGAATTCCCTCCCATGGGAAGCCAGGCTGGCCCCATCTTGCTGTCCTTTCACAAGCAGATGAAGACCTTTCTCACTAGGCTGGCTTTCCCTTAGTGACTGGCTGTCTGAAAAGGGTTTTTAAATGGATTATTGTGCCTTGTTGCTTTTAAGTGTTTTTAGTATTGATTTATTTACCATTTTTTTTAGATTTTAAATATTGTCACTTTAATGATGTAAATTTAATAAGCATCACCTGCATCTCCTGTTTTTAAGGAGAAAGGTGGTGTAAATGTATTTTAAATAAAATAAATAACAGAGCCATGCTAGTTGGGGATTTCTGGAATTACATTGCACTGCACCAAGTTGCTGCAGAGGTAAAATTAGAGAATCCTAGGCTCAAAGGTCCAAAACCACAGTGAGAAGGGATGCTGAAGAAGTCAGAAATGCCTTGGGAAAACAGAGGTTGACTGGTAGTCCAACACATCAAAGAAGAAGGGCTTCAGCCTGAGCTAAAGCACTTTAGGCTGGACACAAACCTTCTGCTGCTGAATATAGCAGTGAAAGCTACACAAGTGTTTGCTACAATTTAAGATTGTAATCTGCCACCAGTTAATATTGAAATATTACCTTTCTTTCTTTTAGCAGCTGTTGGTACCCCTTTGTGCCCAAGGTCAGCAGTGTAATGAGAACATCTAATGAAGGAGAAGCCGATGCTCTTCCTGGGAGGGAAAAAATAAGATATCAATCAGTTCTCTTCTTACAGAGCAGAATAAGCTATTTCATTTCTTTCAGAGCTATTTCCTGAAGAAAAACAAATTTAAAAGCTAGGTACCTGGGTACATTTTGCTGATCTCTTGTATGAAGGAGCCATTGAAGCCAGCAATGACAGCACCACCTACTGGAACCATAAAATTTTTGTCCAAGCTTTGCACAAAAGCATCTATTCTGCCTCTTCTTGCTCCCTAACAAGAGAGAATCAAGATGAGAACCAAGGTGATCCTGCCTCCATTTATATAATAAGCATAGCATTGGTTCTTAAGAACCCAACAGAGCTCATGTGAGCCAAATTTGGTGATCATGGGTACATGTCAACAAGAAAGTTCAAGCCTGCAAATCCCACCAAGATGTCCTGGAGAAGGAACAACTTCTTTCATACTTCCCATTCATTTCAAAGGACCATGCAATTAAGAGAACTATCAATAAATTGTAGCAGTTTTGTTTATTTACATTCAATTTTTTAACTGTTGCCTCTTGCTCTTTTCAAAAAACAATGACAAATGGCAAAGACATTAGCTATGCGATTTCGGTCTAGTAAAAAGTTTCTGTAAGGCCACAGATACTTTTCATACATTTTACTAGTGGTGTAAGTATTTTGCAAATTGATTTGGATATTTCAATTTGTGAAGAATATGAACATATGGCATTCTACAATCACTTCTGGCAGGCACTGTGTGGTTGGACTGAAGCATTTTATCTTTTTATTATTCAGATAAAATAAGGAATAAAACCAGACAATTCACAAATTTCCAACCCCTCCCTCTGGGTAAATCTACCACTTAAGTAACACTATCCCCCCTTATTCTAAGGAAATAAACTGCCTTTGTGCAACAAAGCCCAGATGGTCAGTAAACACATTTGTTGTTACTCTGTTGCTTATTAACTGTGTGCAAAATGGTCTGTTCTGTGGATTGTTCCTGCTTTCCTATTGTTTTCAACAATCCAATTCCCAGTTTGCATAACAGAAAGCTGGAGATTGCTGGGACAATCACAGAATGTTCCACCCACAGAGTCTTTACTCTCTACATCTGCCAGCAGGTTTCTGGTGACTGTATTTCTGCTCTGAGGCTCTAGCAACATCTATGTTTGTTTACTTAGAAATACATCCCACTAAATTCAATGGGACTCACACCCTACTGTGTTTCAGGGTTGCAGCCTAAAACAAAATTAAGGAAAGGCAACTTCTTAAACATGTTCAGTTTATTTTTTATACAGTATTTGTAGTACAGTACTCCTCATCAAGGGAATTTACAGAGCAGATTACATTATTCAAACAAAATAATGCAAAAGAATGAATGAAAAAGTAAATCTAAAAGAACTGCTAACAGCAGCAGCCGCATTAAAAAAATAACCCAAACTGAGATTCTTATGGCCCAAATCCAATCACCAATTAGAGAAGATCTACTAACTAATCAGTGGAACTTACGTACATACTGACTTACCCAACTGATTCAATAGGCCTGCTCTGGTTGGGATAAACAACTGTATTTAGAGAGTATTGAAACATTAGTAGAAAAGACTTAACCATGTTTCGTTAACCATTGCTGAGCTCTAAAATCTATTCTGGAAGTTAATACTGATTGGAGGAATTTAGTACATTACATTTTCCTTATGTTTACTATTCATGTTAATGGTAGAAACCATGGGATTGAAACTAGCATATAATATTTTAGTTGACACTGTTGCCTGTCAAGTGGCACATTTAGCGATTGGTGGCTTGAGACAAGCTCTTTTGAAAGAGTTAGACTGGTGAAAGCTCCTCTTAAAACTATGGCTGAAATCCAGTAGCATAAATGTAGCATATGATTGATGAAAACCGTCACCTACAGCAACTTTTTAGAAATCAAACATTTCCAGTTGCTCCCTTACCTAAGGTTAAATGTAAGACTCCCTCCAATCCCACAGCCTCCAATGGCTTCTCTATGACTAAAGGGATAACAAGGGAGCCTTGTACTGTGTGTGTGGTGGGGGAGGTGATTGGAATTTGTTTAATTTCCAAAAACACACACAACCAAACCCGTTGTGGCTAATGATGCCATTAGCTTTACTCAGCATAACTTCACATTATATGATTTCAGCCATTGTGTCCAACAACTTTATCACTGAACTGATGCATCTTTTCCCATCTTTCCATCCCCACCTATTTTGGCAACGTACATACCATTCACTAACCCTTCAAATACAGTGCACTGTATGTGTAAAAAAAAAAAGCATAAAACCTGAAAATGTTTTGGCAAAATGCCTCTAAAAAGTCCTCAACTTTTGTTTTGTTAGTCTTGTATGTTTTGTTAGCTTTTTGTGTTATTGTTTTGTAGGTATTTGTCTTTTTTTGTTCTTTTTTGTATTTGTCTCTGTAGGCATGTTATAAAAAATAATAAAATGTTAAAAAAAGAGTCCTCAACTGTTTTTTTAAAAATAAGTGTAACAACTGCTAGAGCACATTTGCATTCTGCATTTCTCCTTATACCATAATTAAAGCTTGCTCTACTTTTGAAACAGAACAATGTGCTGTCATCACAAAAGCAAAGTAACTTGTTATAGGCAGCTGTGTTACTTTGACATGACCTTCTACACTTGGGTCCAGGCCAAAATCATCAACCCTGTGTTTTAAGGAATGAGGCAGATAGTATTGGCTGGTTGCCTTATACCCATAACTGCAGGCCACTGAGAATGCAGGTGGGTGTTCCACAGGCAAACTGCCACCCAAGAAAAGGTCCTCTCTACTGTTTTTCTCAGCTTCAGTTGGTAGGAAACTGAGAGAAAGTTTTCTTCAGGTATTCTCAAGGAATGGACAGGTTCATATTAGCTAATGTCAGGATAAAATATGTGGCTTGGCTTCAGGGCAAAACCAGCTTTTGTATCCAAAAACATACAGGAATCCTGCATGGGCTGGATCTCACATCACTCCTGATCTGTGAACTGGATGCCTTACAGGAGACTGCAAGCCTATCTGACAAAAATTCAAAGATTGAATTCCCTCTCCCACATACCATCAGCACCTCTGCCTTTTTGGATTTCGCTTCAGAACCTATGCCTTTGCTCTATACCAGCAAATTTGTAGGTCAACAGACTAGATCTCTATTTCCCACAACCAAAGTGAAAAAATTCAAAATAAAAAGTAATGTCTTTGAATGTTTAATCATACATTATATAAAACTGAGAGTATATGTGACCCAGGGGACTAATATATCATTTGCATCATTAAGTTTTCCCCTGAGAAGTCAATCATTAGAAATGATTTACTATTTCTATTACAGGAAGTCACACTGAACATTTTGTTTTGACTGTGATATCCTCAGCTGGAACAGTAGAGCCTTCTACACAAAACAAATATTAATTATGCAATAGCTATTCCAACCAGACTTATGAATACATCTGATAGTAAGGAGTGGTGGGGCAGACCAATGTGGCTTCTTCTTTGGTTGTTATTTAGTCGTTAAGTCATGTCCGACTCTTTGTGACCCCATGGCTCAGAGAACTCCAGGCCCTCCTGTCTCCCATTGACTCCAGGAGTTTGGTCAAATTCATGTTGGTAGCTTTGATGACACTGTCCAACCATCTCGTCCTCTGTCATCCCCTTCTCGTCTTGCCTTCACTCTTTCCCAACATTAGGGTCTTTTCCAGGGAGATTTCTCCTCATGAGATGGCCAAAGTATTGGAGCCTCAGCTTCAGGCTCTGTCCTTCCAGTGAGCACTCAGGGTTGATTTCCTTTAGAATGGATACGTTTGATCTCCTTGCAGTCCAGGGGACTCTCAAGAGTCTTCTCCAGCATCACAATTCAAAAGCATCAATTCTCCGGTGGTCAGCTTTCTTTATCGTCCAGCTCTCACTTCCATACATTACTACGGGAAAAACCATAGCTTTGACTATTCGGCCTTTTGTCGGCAAGATGATGTCTCTGCTTTTTAAGATGCTGGTGAGGTTTGTCATCACTTTCCTCCCAAGAAGCAGGCATCTGTTAATTTCAAGGCTGCTGTCGCCATCTGCAGTGATCATGGAGCCCAAGAAAGTGAAATCTGTTACTGCCTCCATCTCTTCCCCTTCTATTTGCCAGGAGGCGGTGGGACCAGCGGCCATGATCTTAGTTTTTTTGATGTTGAGCTTCAGACAGTTTTTTGCACTCTCCTCTTTCACTCTCGTTACAAGGTTCCTTAATTCCTCCTCACTGCCATCAGTGTGCTATCATCTGCATATCGGAGGTTGTTGATATTTCTTCCAGCTATTACAGCTTGGGATTTCTCCAGTCTAGCCTTTTCCATGACGGATTCTTCATATAAGTTAAATACAACCTTGTCGTACTCCTTTCCCCATTTTGGACCAATCAGCTGTTCCATATCCAGTTCTAACTGTTGCTTCTTGTGCCACATATCTTTAAGAACTTGCCATAGTTTGCTGTGGTCCGCACAGTCAAATTTCAGTCTCTTCAGCATCAGTGGTTGGTGCCTGCTTTACTTGCTGCCAAAACACAATCTTTATGCTACTTTTCATCAACCTGCTGTCCTCCAGATGTGTTAGGATGGCTGGACATAAAGGGAATGTAGTCCAACACATCTTGAAGGCACTAGGTTGGTGAAGGCTTCTATACACATACATCATTCCCAGCATTAAGGAACAGAGGGGCAGAATGGGAAGACATGCAGGGTATGTGCTGCACCCAGCATGAATTTTTAATACCCTGACCGACCTAACTACAAAATTGTATTGAAGAATTCTCTGGTATCTCAACTCATTTTTGGGGTATTCCATCCTTCTGGAATTTCATGTGCATGACACCAAGACCTCATTTTCATCCGGTTGGCAAATCCAGAGCAGTCTTGAAGACATACGTTCCAGCCATCAAATTCCAACCAACTGTACTTTGCTGATGTTAATCATGATTTGATTACAGGTGCACTGATGAGCCAGAATTTCATCACTCTGCCTGAAGGAAATTTGCAAGCAGTGGTTAATGCCACTACCCATTTTAATTCTAACAACAGTTGATGCTAGCAAGTTGTGTACATGTGAACAAAACAGAAAAAAAGAGAGAAAATCATGATCCTCAGTCACTTTTAACTACCATGACTTCTCCCTTTTTGGTAGAACACACTCTGTCCAAGGTAACAACTAAGGTACCAGTTGCACACCTCAAGTAAGCTAGACATCTGAGGCTTCTGAAAGCTGAATATACAGTAGAGAACTGCAGAAGGAGTACCTTAATATTTGTGTTCATCTTTTTTCTCCTTTCTCAGCTGATCATTCCTTTTTTTGCTATTTTAAATAGAATTAGCACTAAACCAAGAATGTAACACTGAGTGTAGCAGAAAAAAAAATACAGCCAGCAGCTGTACGATTCCATCAAAATGTATCTGCCTTTCTCCAAAGAAGCCTTATTGATCTCAACAATCAAATTCAGCTTACATGAGACCACTTTGTTCTTGATGTGTGATCAGACAAGAAAATGCACACTTTCTTGTTTTGAAACCCCCAGAAACATAACAAGTGTGCTCAGATGTTCACAAAGCCTGCTATAGGGCCCAAGTTCATCTACACAGGCAAATACAGTATCTGAGGTGAATATATCTTACCTGTTGAATGAGGTGCATACATTTGGAAGACTGAACTCCATATGCATTATTAACAATATGGGGGATGTCATGTTTTGCACATATTTCAGCTAATTCTTCTATTCTGCAAATATAAAATTGATATTTGGGTAAACACACACAAGGACAGATAAATAATAGGCGGGACTAGATAGGTAAAACTAAAATAAATAAAAAGAGAAAGAACAGAAAGTGAAGTAGATTGGCTATTAAATATATCCATGTTATTGCCCTAGTATTCAGGACTGGACAAAAACTAAATCTGGAATCCAAACAATTTCTTAAACTGCAACAAGAGGTTTATGAAGATCCAAAGACATGTCTAGCATTGGCCAGATGACTAATATGATAAATCACCAAGGGGGTGGGGGTAAGATCTGGAGGGATCCAAAGCAAAGGCTTTTCCAGTGCTCTGTTGCCACCCTCACCACACTGCTCATCCTGAAATTAATTATGTAGCAGGAGCTACAGTAAAGAGATTAATTTGATGATGTTTCTTCTCTACTCAGCATCAGATTGAGAGACTCCCCTTTGTAACACTGTCCCTCAAGTATGTACCAAGTCACAGGAGGGAGGGATGGTGCTACTTCCCATCACCAAGAGGAGAAGCACCAAGCGAAGTGGCTGAAGCAACCACCTGCATTTTCATTCTTATCACAGACTGCTGGGAAGAAAAAAGAGGAAGGGTTGCAGCCCCACCCAATTCTTCTCTTTGTACTGCTTTCATCTACAGTACACCCCCTCACATTTCATAAATGTTTTAAGATATCTTTTCTTCTAGCAACAAAAATGAGCACACCCCTAAGTGACAATGTCCAAATTGGCCCAAGTAGCCGTTTTCCCACCCTGGTGTCATCAGACCTCTTAGTGTCACAAGTCTCAGGTGTGAAGGGGGAGCAGGTGTTATCGCTCTCACTCTCTCAGACTGGTCACTGCAAGTTCCACATGGCACCTCATGGTAACAAACATCTACCTGAGGCTCTGAAAAAATGAATAAAGATGGCCTAAGCCAGTAATGGCGAACCTATGGTATACGTGCCACAGCTGGCATGCGGAGCCCTTTCTGCCAGCACGCGAGCCGTAAATTGCCAGATCGCTACTCCCCCCCGCGCATCCAAACCTGAGAAGGCAGCTGCAGCCATGGTGATGGTGTTTCAGCAAGCAGATCCGGAGCAGCTGGCGCTGGTGGTGGATCCAGAGTGGGGTCTCAAGGCACCTCCGTGCCGGGATTCCCCCCTCAGCTGCCACTTCCAGTTCCGCTGCCCCGTGTCCCCCCCCCCAGTTTGGGCACGTGGGCCCAAAAAGGTTTGCCACCACTGGCCCAGGCTATAAGACTGCCAAACCCCTGAAACTGAGCTGCAGCACAGTGGCCAGGACCATACAGCAGTTTAACAAGACAGGTTCCACTCAGAACGGGCCTCGCCATGGTCGACCAAAGAAGTTGAGTGCCTGTGCTCAGCGTCATATCCAGAGGTTGGTTTTGGGAAATAGACATATGAGTCCTGCCAGCATTTGGATATTGGCACTTAGGGGTATACTCACTTTTGTTGCCAGAGGTTTAGACATTAATGGCTGTGTGTTGCATTATTTTGAGGGGACAGCACATTTACAGTTATACAAGCTGTATTCTCACTGCTTTACATTGTAGTCAAGTGTCATTTCTTCAGTGTTGTCACAAGAAAAGATATACTAAAATATTTATGAAGTGTGAGGGGGTGTACTTACTTCTGTGATATACTGTAAAAACAACACAGGCCAATACAACACACAAATTAAAATTTCTACATAAAAAAAAAGAATTTTAATCTATTCTGACCCAGGATATGAATAATAGCACTTTTGAGCTGTATGTTTAACTGAAAGTTGCAAGTAAAAACACTTCCCTCTATATAGTTTAAATGAGTTGATGATCTCAATATGTATTGTAGTAAATAATCCTAACACAGAACAGCAAGATCTCTCAAGTTTGCTACAGACCTTTACTGCTGAAGAAAGGAGAGTGAAAGTTATGAACTGTAATGGAAGGTGGCACATAATTCATCCATTTAGAATGGCTGGAATGCTATTGGTGTTCATGAAGAGATCATGAAACTTGCTGTAGCTAAATAAGGCTACTAGAAGAGATGCCAGGGTTGTGACTAGGTAAGCAAACAGGGCACACCATGGAACCTTGTCAATAAGATTCAGTTAGTTAGGGCTAATTATGCAAATCTTACATGAACATCAATATGATTTTGGCCAATTATCTAGGATTTCCATCCTGAAAAGTGGACTATAAGAAGGTACTGTAGTGCAGCTGACACACTCAGGATATGGAAGAAAAAGTCATCATGAAATAGTGGATAATATGTTGGATTTGTAAGAGGGAGACCAAGGATTAGATGCAGTTATTAATCCCAATCAGAGTGAATGGGACCTCTTAAGTCAACACGAAGTCCTACTGATTCAATGGGGGTATCCTAGCTGGGACTAACAACTGGATATAGTTCTAAGAGTCAAAGCTTCATAAATGTTCCTGGAAAGAAGGGGGGAAGCAACTGCCCTATTTCATCCTCAAACAGAAATTCTAACTTGAAGAAACAGTTTGAATATTCTTTATATCTAAAGAAATATTACAGGAAGAAATTACGATATAATATGGAAAGAAATGCCATTGCATCTTATACAGTTAGTCATCCTTCAGTCTCAAGAGACTATGGTAACGTGCTCTGTACGGAGGACTTGGAACAGTGTCTAGTGTGGCTGAGAAGGCCAATTTGAGAGTGACAATCCTTTCCACACTGAAGATAAATACAATCTGTCCCCTGTCTAGCTACCTGATTTTGCTGGTTTCGGGACTGCCTCTTTGCCTCAGCCTGCTGGACAAGGGTCTCTTCAAAATGGGAGAGGCCATGCTGCACCGCCTGCCTCCAGGCTGAATGTTCAGATGTCTAGGTTTCCCATCTGTTGAGTCCATTCCTAAGGCCTTCAGATCCTGCTTGCAGATATCCTTGTATCGCAGCTGTGGTCTCCCTCTGGGTTGCTTTCCCTGCACTAATTCTCCATACAGGAGATCTTTTGGAATCTGACCATCAGCCATTATCACGACATGCCCAAGCCAATGTAGACGTCGCTGTTTCAGTAATGTATACATGCTAAAAATTCCAGCTTATTCTAGGACTACTCTATTTGGAACTTTGTCCGGCCAGGTGATATCAAAAATGCCTCAGAGGCAGCACATATGGTACATGTTCAGCTTCCTCTCCTGCCATGCACAAAGGGTCCAGGACTCACCGCAGTATAGGAATGTGCTTAGGACACAGGCTCTATAGACCTGGATCTTGGTATATGCCGTCAGCTTCTTACTGAGCCATACTCTCTTTGTAAGTCTAGAGAACATGGCAGCTGCTTTGCCAATGCATTTATCCAGATCGATATCTAGGGAGAGAGAGTCAGAGATGGTTGAGCCAAGGGACACAAAGTCATGAACAACCTCCAACTCTTGTTTGGAGATGGTAATAGAGGGAGGTGAGTCCACACCCTGGCCCATGACTTGTGTTTTCTTCAGGCGGATTGTTAATCCAGAGTCTTGGCAGGGCTTGCTAAAGTGATTCATGAGTTGTTGGCGGTCTTCAGGAGAGTGGGCAAGAATGGCTGCATCATCGGTGAAGAGGAAGTCCTGCATGCATTTTAGCTGGACTTTGGTCTTTGCTCTCAATCTAGAGAGATTAAAGAGCTTTCCATCTGATCTAGTCCGGAGATAGAAACCTTCAGTTGCAGTTCCAAAGGAGTGCTTCAGCATGACAGAGCCCTGTTTGACTCTGTTTTGGATATCAAAAGGATGTGACGCTGAGCCATCAAAAACTACAGTGCTCTTCATTTCCTCATGAAAGGACCTGATGATGTTAAGGAGTCAAGGTGGAAAATTTACTAACTTGAATCACAGCTATGAAAATAAAACTGACCTGATCTAAAGCCATCTGATATAGAGATGAGACAAAATGTTTTAGGAGAGTGAAACATATAAAAAGGTATTTCATAAGGTTGTAGCAATGGCGGTAATCTTTTTGAAAAGATAAATGTGTGACCTTGAGGGGCTGACAGCAACCTTTTAACAACAACAGCATCAACAAAGGTCCTTCAAATATCATTGCATATTTTAAATTCACAGCTCCAGGAATAAGAGAGAACACAACAATATTCTAGAGGGGAAAAGGACCAACAGAGCAATGAAAGGAAAATTGAAATGGCTTGAGATCAGGTCACTTTTATTTTCATGGCTTTGATTCAAGTTAGTAAATTTTCCGGCTCAGTTTAGACGATGTTCATAGCACAAAGACAGAATTATTAGTCCCGATTTATACCTTTCTACCATATACTTGAAGAAATGTATGTCAAATGAATAAATCAACATTTAAAAACTCTATTCAGACTACACAGACTAATTCGAAGTCTTATTCTGAAGTTTAAATTTTATGCAAATGTATTTCTAAATGTGAACACTTCTGAGAACATTGCAACTTCCAGGCAGTTGTGTAACCTGAGTCAGAACAAATTACAGAGATCACAGGGTGGAAGGTGGGGATCAGAAGGGGATGGGATATGGCATGAAAGACTGTGACAGGTGGACAAGGAGCTGGGGTTTAAAATCAGGTGTATTGACCTAACTGAGCAGAACTTTCCTGAAAGGCAAAGTCACTGCCAGATACATCTCTGTTGTTATTTGAGCAGGTTAATCCATCATGTCCATAATGTTCTGTTGTCAAGGAAGACCTCCCATTCTAGCTCACATGCCATTTGTTTATATATGTAAATATTATGCAACCCAACATGTTTGTGTGTGTGTGTGTGTGTGTGTGTGTAAATTAACTGAATGGTTACATGTTTTTTACTAGAGTTTGTATATATAAGAATGAATAAGCTGTATGCATAAGAAAATGTGCAACCCATCAGACTGTGTCTAGTATGAGTCAATAGGTGTTTAGAGGATTGACTGTCAGATATTTTAAAAACTGTCAGTTAGGATGAGGTTTATCTGTTGATAAGTTAGTTTTTCCCTTAGATTGTCTGTTGTTAGGTTGTCCACTGTTAGTATGTTTGTTATTAATCTGTAACAGTTAGTAAGGAAGGTGTTAGAAAAATGATAAATGCCTGTTATGAAACTGATATGTCTGCCAAGCACAAATCAAAACCAATTCTATACCAAGTCAAATATTCATTTATTGTTAGCTGAGTCTTCAACATATTTTAAAGTAAACATTCTTAAAGTTTACTATGACTGAATGATTCTTCTATCTGCTGAAAATATTATATTATCTGTTTGTTTGTTTCAAATTCATGTTTAATCTGTTGTGTGAAAATTCACAAAAGATCTACAGCATAGAAAGAAAATTCTAGGGCATGTTTTAGGATTCACTGATGAACACACTGTTGCTATATTTCTAGACTGGGCCTACTGTCTCATTGTAGACCCATATAATTGAAGAGAGACCTACTCAGGACTCCCATGGACCGATACATCGCAGCAGAAATGGGTAGTAGCAGTCAGGCTGTATTCAGTGCAGCTTCTCCACTGTTATTTACCTTCTTACTACAACATCCCTAAGCTCCCAAGAAACTCCAGGATTCTCTTGGAATTGCTGACATATCAAACCAATAATTTATAGGCCAGAAGCAGAATACTTTGGAAAAGGGACACCATATTTGAAATATCTTTGGGGAATACCAACTGATGAGATACCAACTGCATTTTCATTCGAAAAGAGAAAGGTAATATAGAAATGAAAATGAAAGAAAGAAAAATTAGGGCACGATAAAAGTCTAAAGATGAAGTCAGTGGTAAACTAAGAAAGAAATGGAGACTATAATAAGGAAGTAAAGGATGTTTACTACTCCTATAATGTGAGAATTCAAAATGATATAAACATGCTAATAGGCATAATTAAACTTATAACAACAATGCCTATGCTTCTTATTTCATGACTGGAGAGATATTCAAATATTTGCAAACATTAAACGCATTCATTTCCAACATATGTCAGATGTTATTTCACCATTACTTGAAAGACAATACAATCTGGAAGAGAAAGAGCCTCATTATTCTGTAATCAAAATTTACTGGTTTCTCTTTGTCTCCTATTCATAAGCTCAAACGGACAAAACTGTAACACAATCTGATCTTGTATACAGGAGAAGGAGGGGTTATGTCCTCTTATCTTTAATATTCTATTTAGTGGTGTTTGTTATTGTGGCTATACAAATTTTGTTGACAGATTCAAAGTTCACAAAATGGGCTTTCATGCATCTTTATAGAATGCCAAAGAAGTTTAAGTATTTTTATTCTGATCATATACTGCAGAAGTGCTAAGCAACTGTTGCTATAAGCTCCATACTAACCCATCATTTAAAAAAGCAGCAGAAACAAAACATATTAAAGAAGTCACTTATCATCAAATAGTTCTAGCAGCTGAAAATGAAGGATCAAGTTTATGTATAGCCCCTCAAGAATTGCTGTTTGTGAATGACACCTTCCTCCAGGCTACAATCCTGGTACAATCATTAATCTAAACCTAGTGAGATAGCATTCCTCTGCCCACCTTCTTTGTTTTGGGGCTATATTCCCCTTATGTTATTCATTCTATATTCTTGCACTCCTCTTATCTTTTTGAATTCTTGAAGAAGACCAGATAAAAGCATCCAAATATTACACTAAGTGGGACTCAACAAGGTTCTTTTATGGACTGAATTACTTCTATTGGTCAAACCACGAGAGGGGGGCAATTTCTCCATCCATCCTGCAGCCTTCCATATGCCCAGGGAAACTGTGGGGTCCTCCTGGGGATTTTGGGCAGCATCAAGAGATTCAAGAGAGAGGAGCATTGAAGGAAGTCCAGCAATGCTAGCAGATATCTACTACTACAGTGTTTGGCTTAGGCTACTGCCTGAACAGGTCAGCATGTAAAATCTCCATGCATACGTAAAGGTAACATACCAGGGAGAAGGCTGGCCTAAAACTCCTCTTCTGAAATGCTAGTTTTCTGTATGTAGGAAAGTTTGTCTCCCTAAGGGAGAACAATTCCATCCCTGCACTCTGAAGTGGTAAAACTGTACCAATCGATTCTTTCTTTCTTTCTTTCTATCAGCACATAGCACAATTTAAAATTATGGATGTATATGAAATATGGGTAAAATTAAAGCAACTTAAAATGTTAAGATAATTAGACTATTTTTGACAAGAAGCAAGCTACATCAATAGCATTATCTCGACCATTTGCCAGATCTCTTTTGTACACATGGTGGGGCATAAAATCCATGCACACAATTGCTACACTGATTACAAAAAAATTGTTGTATGCACAAGCAGTTTTATTTTACTTGACTATTCTTTGATCTTCCTACTTCACTTTGAAGTCTATTAAGTGACTTCCAGATGGTCCAGCTAGAGTTTTGTTCTAGTTGGAGACACTCTTCAGCATTCATCCATTTGGCAAGGTGTGTTGTTTTTGCTCTCCATAAGTTTAAGCCCAGCCTCTTCAGACCTTAAGAGGTACGCAGAAAACTTTTCCTTTATTTTAGCCATTGTCTGTGGTACCATGGCTCGTATTGACCAGAGTGGTCGTATTGACCAGATAGGCGGGATACAAATAAAATAAATAAATAAAAAATAAATACCAGTTCCCAATCTTGGGTCCCTGGATGTTCTTGAATTAAAACTCCCTTCACCACTAGCTGTGCTGGCCAGGATTTCTGGGACCCAAGCTTTAGAACCACTGGTTGGTGTCCATGAAATGGATAGGTTTGGTACTGTATTACTTTATTTCATTCATTATTTGCTAGCACCTCTTGATGTACTTCTAAAGAGGCAATGCCGTCCAAATAATAGACTTTTTCAATGGGGTAAGTTTTCCGGCAACCAGTAATAATCCTGCATGATTCACTAACAGCTACATTCACTTGCTTGGCACGTTGTCATTTATGCCATAGCATAGTCTGCTGTGAAGTAGCACAGAGACAAAGCTGCTGTTCTTATTGTTTGGGGATGAGTACCGCAGTTTGATCCATCTAGTCTCCTAACTGTTTTATTGCTGACAGCAACTTTCTGTTTGGTGTTTAGATATTTTTTTGTAGGTAGGGTCCGAGCCAAATATTTTGGTGTAGGGCAATTTTTCAAAATCTTGCCTTCCAAGCTAACTCAGTCTCCTCCCTGCTTCTCTGTTCTTTAAGTGGAAAGCACAGACCTGTGTTTTTAACTGGTCTAGTTTTAGCTAATTGTATTTATAATATAAAGAAAGATTTTCTAATGCAGAGATTGGCTGGTACTCAATGGTCTCCAAAATTTCCCCCTAGACTGTCAAGGCAAGATCATCAGTATAGATGTAACTCCTAAAGTATGGGAATACTGGCTGATCATTTGTGTAAATGTTAGAAAGTAATGGTACCAGGACGCTAACATGTGAGAGACCATTCCTTTGATTTATCCAGTGATTATGCCTCCCTTGAAATTCAACAAAGAGCCTTCAGTTTTGAATTACAAGAACCATTTGTGTTAGTCCATGATCTTTAGTAGGGAGGTAAAGCTTTCCGAGCAGCAGTATCATATGCCACTCTAAGGTCAATAAACACTGCTCCAGTTATTTTATGTTTCGAAACCATCTTTTATGTGCTGGATTAGATTTAAGATTTGAGCCATATAGCTCTTGCCAAGTTTAAAACCTGTCTTTTCTGGAATTAGAATAACTTCCATTTTAGGGGCTAGGTGGTTTAATATCATTCATTTAAACACTTTGTACCAGAGGCATAGTAGGGATATTGTCCTGTAGCTTTTGGGGTTTGATGGTTCTTTGCCTGGTTTCAGTATGACAATTATTTTCATCTTCCACCAAGTTTTTGGAATTTGTTTGCTTATTCTGCTGGCTGTATATCTCTTATTTGGGTTCCAGCAAGAAAAAGATCAGCTTTGAAACTTGACTAGAGATGGAGGTATTTGTATACGAACACCCCCGCACAGGTGGACATAGCGAGGGGCCAGCCCCATGGGCCCGGATGGTCCATTCACTGATCCGCCACTGCCGCGGGCACCGCGGAGCCTTCCAGTGGCTCCAAAGAGTGCGTTTGGTGAGCCACTCTTCGGCCTAGCAGAGAGGCTTGTCGTCCCGCCTCCTGCCAGGAATGGCGAGCCAAATGCGCTCTTCGGAGTCATTGGAAGGCTCTGCGGCACCCGCAGCAGAGGTGGATCAGTGAGTGGACCGTCCAGCCCCATGGGGCTGGACCCTCATTATATCCACCCATTTCTAAACTTGACTATAAATATGCTAATTATTTGGATCCTCATCATATGCCTGCATCAAATATCAGGCAAATTATACCAAATAAATGTATTATTAACCTTTCTTCCTACTGAGCTATGGTCCATAAGTAGTTCATGTTTCTGCTAACACTTCCTAGTTTTCATTCTTGTCTAAAGTTTCTTCCACATACCTACTCTACTTCTCACTGCTGGGGACCACTGCTTCCTCCAATACTTCTTCCCCAACTCCCTCTTCAGTACTTTCTTTAGCTTGTTCCCGTCTTCTCCTCATTAAGCTTTTGCTTGCCTAAATTCTGTGACTGCTCCATCCCATTCTAACTTATAAACAGCTCAATCAGTGAAAAACAGAGGTTATTTTATCTGTCATAGTCCTTACAGAAGCCCAGCCAATCATGGCCAGCATCTTCCCTTATCACCTTCAAACTCACAATACTGATTATAGCTATCAAATATTTACATGTGGATTTATTTACCTGTCAGGTACCCTGGGAGCAAAACACGATGTGGTGGAATGAATACAAAGAATATTATCGGCCCCAAGATCCTGGATTTTAGCTTCCACTGCCTTGAGGTCTGTACGTAGTTCATCACCTTCTAATACATTTTCTATCACCACAGGCTCAAAACCTAGTCCAGCCAACAAAAACAATATATGAGTGGGCATCAATAAGCTTTCTTCATTTGAATGTTTAAACTATCCCTTTCTTTGTTTGCCTCATTTGTTCACAACTTTCCAAATTCAGCATTATTTTTTTTAAACATCAATAGACATGGGCACTTCATAGTTGTATCTTGGGGATACAAACGTGACCCACAGGAGACCAAATTCCTCCCCCCAAACTGGCTGGGCCACTCACTGGGCTCTGTGAGGCCCTGAGATCTTTCATTGTTTGCAGCGCCCAAACCCTGCAGCAGCCTGGCCAGCCCTTCCCCACTTCCCCACGCAGCTGACCATTCATTGCCTGAATGGGAAGACACCACGTCCTGCCTCTGCACTGAAGTGGTATCCCCGAGATATGAAGATTAAGTGCCCATTTCTAGATATCAGTAATCTAGTAAATAGATAATGCATTAAGAAACCAGAAGGTCACCCTGCTGCCATTCATTGTCCTCCAGATCTCTGGTGAGAAAACCTTAAGGAAGCCTAAACGAAAGTGGAGCAAAAGATACAAAGTGTGTGTGAATGATCCCTCTACTGCAAATTTTATTTATTCATTTTATGTATTTATTTAACTTATATGCCGCCCACACTACCCGAAGGTCTCTGGGCGGCTTACAGCATTTAAAATACAATAAAAAGGCAAAATAAAAGGGCAAAAGAATTTTGTGTAGCTGAATTTTATGTAGAAAAGACACATTTGATAGTATTGTACTGATTAATTTAAAAAGTGTTTTCAAAACTTTTCCCTGGTGGAAAAAAAAACAGTCAAGCTTCTAGTAAAAACGAGAGTATTACCTTTTTTAAAAACTGGCCTTGCTCTACATGCCTTCAAGTGCACAAATAAATGAATACATATATCAAAGGGCTCCTGTAAGTTGACTGTTCTATGCATGCAAGCTTCTCTGGTGTTTTTTTTTAACTAAACAAACAGGCAATCCCCCAGTTCCTGTAAAATGGTTACTTTCATACAAAATAATACTAGAAGTCTTTGAATCAGTCTTATTGGCTACATTCTGGCACATAGCTATTTTATACACTAAAGTTCTTTCAGCAATTATAAACACATGGCATCTTAACAAGCCAGTATACTGAAGAAGTTCAGCATATCATAGAATCCTAGAATTGTGGAAGCGGAAGGGCCATCAAGTCCAAATTCCATCCAAAGCTGGAAATCCACAGCTAACTTTGCATATCAAGGCCTACTGACACTTGCTTTGTTGAGCTAGGACTTCCTGCAGCAGCTCCAAGGCCTTATGGCACTTCTCATTTTTCTCCCAACAATATACAGTACTGGTTGTTGTGGGTTTTTCGGGCTCTTTGGCCATGTTCTGAAGGTTGTTCTTCCTAACGTTTCGCCAGTCTCTGTGGCCGGCATCTTCAGAGGACAGCACTCTGTGCTCTGGTGCAGTTGGCTTGGGAGGGCAGTATTTACGGCTGTGAGATAGGCTTTTGTCTTTTTCTGTATATGGGTGAAAAAGACAAAAGCCTATCTCACAGCCATAAATACTCTACTCCCAAGCCAACTACACCAGAGCACAGAGTGCTGTCCTCTGAAGATGCCGGCCACAGAGACTGGCGAAACGTTAGGAAGAACAACCTTCACAACACAGCCAAAGAGCCCGAAAAACCCACAACAACCATTAGATCCCAGCCGTGAAAGTCTTTGCGAATACAATATACAGTACTGTAAACCAATCATGCCTATTGCATTTAAAATACAATATGGCTACCTCTGCAAGCAAAAAACACAGGCCTTTTGCCCGTGCTTCCTTAAGGTGTCATAAGAACCAAAATTGGTTTATCTGTTCCCTGGCAATACAGCTAGCCTTGTCTTTATGTGCTCTTCTGGCAGCACAAAACGTGCAGCTCCCTCTCTTCCCTTTGGTGCTATAGAAAACCCCCATCAAGCCCACCAGGCAAAAAGGTGCCCCACACTGGTGGCAGCAGGACACACACACACTCCACATGCACACGCAACAGTGTGATATGGCCAGCGAGCGCAACAACCCCTGGATGTGTACAAGCGTGACACACCCCTCCGAGCACAACATGCCCTGCGTAAGAGCAACACCCCCCCTGTGAGCTCGACATGCCCCCCCAAAATGGTCTGCTGTTGGGAAAAGGTTGGGGACCGCTGGTCTATAGGATATCCTCTTGTGTTCTTTACTATTCACAAAGAGATTTACAAGGAGGGGAAAATCCAAAAAGCCAACTCCTTTTTTTCACCAGCTAACCACTTCTCACTCAAACACAAAGCAACTGTCAGGGTTGTTTTTCAAAATGTTCTCCTCCTCAGTGTCAGCTAACTGGATCTTGACTGACAGGTTCAAAAGTTCCGACTGCCCCAGACCTGAGTTATTATCTGTTTTTAAAAAATTGTGTCAGAAACCTGGTCTCAGGAATCCCTAGAGAATATTTACTGAAAGCGCTGAAGGCTAGGACAAACAAACCTGCTCCGTGCTTTTGTAAGGCAGAAATGCTCTGTATATTCCTTACAAAATTATACAGTATACTACATCTGGAGGACTGTCACTCCATTACTTTCTTTAAAACAAATTTGTTTTTTCTTGATTCTAAAGAACACCTGTCTTTTGACTCTCTTAAGTTGCCCTGCATCCCTCGAAATATCTCCCTCCACCACCCATAAAGCTATAATGTATCATAGCATAATTGAGTGGGAAGGGGCCTACAAGGCCATTAAGTCCTTGCTCAATGCAGAAAGCCAAATCAAAGATTTGATAGTTGGTTAACTAATTTTCTCTTGAATGCCACCAACATTGAAGCACTCACCACCTCCCAAGTTAACCGATTCCACTGACATACTGCTCTAACTATTGTTTTCTTGATATATAGCCTAAATCTGGCTTCCTTTAACTTGAGCCCAATATTACATGTCTTGCCTTCTGGGATGATTGAGAATAGATTCTGCCCCTTCTCTGCATGACAATCTTTCAAATATTTAAAAAGTATTTTTGAGTGCCAATATTTCAGCTTTTACAGGCTGGATCTTTCCAAATAAAGAAAAGCGGGTGAGGCCAATAGTTCTTTCAAGATAAGCAAGAATTAATTTTTCAATTTATGTCAGCTATTTTTTGTTTTTCAATGTATGTGACCTATTCTAAATCTGGGGTTGTTTGGGGTTGCCTATTTCTGAGTTGGGGGGTAGGAACAACACATGGTGAGGCCTATACGAAAGCATCTAGATTGTGTCTATGAAAAGGACCAATTAATGGAGAGAAGGCAAACATAATTTTAAGTGTGCTGAAAATGCTCGAACACACAATTTCTGTTCTGAAAACAAATGCTTCCGAATGCAGTGAATGTGAGTTATTCCATGATACTTCAATTCATCTTTACACTTATATGACACAAACCTCTATATTTTTTCACAAACTTATATTATACCCATCCTTTATGAGTTACTACATTTATTTTTCCCAGCAGTTATTAGAGATATTAAAGGCTAAATCTAGTTATTAGTCCCTTTTGTTGTTGTTGTTTAGTTGTGTCTGACTCTTCGTGACCCCAAGGATCAGAGCACGCCAGGCCCTCCTGTCTTCCACTGCCTCTCGGAGTTGGGTCAAATTCATGTTGGTTGCTTCGATGACACTGTCCCACCATTTCGTCCTCTGTCACCCCCTTCTCCTCTTGCCTTCATATATTCCCAACATCAGGGTCTACATTAGTCCCTTAAAAAGCCCTATTCCATTTATGGAAATTCTACAAATGCTGCTTAGAAAAGTTCCACTGATTGAATGGGTCTGTTCTAGCTGAGAATTATAACTGGATATATCCATGAGATCCTCTGTCAATAGTGTTTCTCAGCAAGCTCCCTCTTAGTCACAGACCAAGCAGCTGGGATGCTACAAAATGTTCACAAATGTTGTAATTTCTGAAGTGGAAAGATCAGCAATTACATAATGAAAATCCATATGTTTTCTATAGAAGAAGTGTAGGGCTTACAAATCATCAGAAAAATCCTCAATGAGAGCCTGGCAATAAGAAAGCATATATTGCAGAGTTGATTAGAAAATCAGTAAATGGAAATAATAAGATGAAGAAACAGAATTATGCATATCATGTGGTGATTTAGAATGGTTGATTTCAGGCTTCTAGCAAGCTACAGTATATTTAATGCAGGTCTTTCAAAACATCTGAACTATCAAGCCAAGCATCCCAATGGACTTGTATTACTAAATGTGCCATCTCAGTAATTTAACTTGTGTAGACTTGATTTACTGTATGTTCTGAAGAGGTGAGAACCACTACTGTCTGCTTGCATAATGCCACACCTACAAAGTATAAGCTTGAAAGCAGCAATGTATGTTAAGTAAGTTGCCAGTATCCCCATTTATACAGTTCATTACCTGCAGTAATCATTGACTTGAAACAGGATTTTTGGTCTATACGGGGCCAGATAATGTACTTTGCCTTTGGTCTCTTGTGCCGCAGTGTCAAGAAACACAATGTTAGGCTCATGCCAGTTGCCATGGGGACCACAAAGCAGCTAGCTGCTGTCTTGACACCTGAAAAAGTAAAATGCAAATCACATATGAACACCAAATGAGTTTCAATTATTATGTTCATGTAAAGAAACACATGTTTGGCTTTCCTCCTTACCAGCAAGTTTTATAACATCCAAGACAATTGAATTAGTAAGCTTGTTCAAGAGACTAGAGCCTGCTGCTTTTGGCTGGACAGCAGAAATATCACCTGACCGTCCAATCCCATGGATCAATCTGGAAACAGAAAAGCATGTTGGATGGGGAAGAAAGGCATAATTCAACAATGGCAAACATTACAAGGTATATCCAGCTAACCCCTTAAACTGACATAACAGCTTCCTTGAGTGGAAAGAGGAGGTGATCCTTCATCATTGGCAATGCCCCACAAACCCTCAAAATCTGTTTTGAAAAATTGAGAGACGTGAGGTAGAGAACAGGGGAACATCTTGCTACATAAAAGGAAGACCACTTGAGCAAGATCAGTGTCCTCCCTAACTAGCAACATCACAACAGGTATCCTGAAGTCATACAAAGTCACACACTGTGACTAAATGAAATCCAGTATCATGAATTATCCGGTGATCAGACTCAGTGTATTCAGTTACCTGTGAAATCGGTTACCGTATTCAGCACTGTAAAAAATGATACAGATGTAGAAAGAACATGATTCACTGGTCAAAATGCTGTTAAGAAAAACTGCATGCATGAGTCTTTCCTGCCAACCCAGACCTCTATTGTACAACCAGTCACGTGACCGTCTTTACAATCAGTGAGAGACCAGGTACAACAAAGGAAGCCTGCTGGAGTGGGGGAATGTTTACATGATTCCCCATCCTATGTTTCTTCAGTAGATTTTGGCCATTGAACCAAATGCAGCCAACAAGGAGACTTGACAGCTTCCCTATTTTTGCCGCCCTCATAGCACTACAAGCACAGAAAGGCTTTTCAACATCCAGAAGGTCATAATATACGGGTGGTGAGCTGTATTTGGCTTAGTGGGTCTCATGTTTTGCAGCTTCATCCTACAGAAGCTTGAGCCTATCATTATGTGCAAGCAGCAGAATACATAATTATTCTTATGGATAGAGATCGGCACCAACTGCTGGTTTGGTGCAGTTCATTTCCTGGACAAACAGCTGATTCATGATTTGGTGCCCCACCCCCTCCAGTGGGTGGCCACTCAGTGACAGAGCCTGTAGGAGACAGGGTGGGGAGCTGCTGAGTGTTTGAGTGCTGTAGGGGGAGGGACGCTAAACTGCAGATCCGTTGTTTGGCCAGGAAACGAACTGCACCCAACAGCCAAACCAGCGGTTCATGCCCATTTCTACTTATGACCCTGAGAACTGATGCAGGGAGATCTCTAAGTACTGATTCTAACAGCACAGCAGCAGGCAACCATTAGTGCGGCCACTTCAGTGCAAAGGAGATCCTATGACAGTTTAAGAACTAGCATTTTCCCTTTGATGACATGACAACTAAAACAATAAACACATACTCTTTGGATATTTGTGAAGATTCTCAGTCATCCAGGTGAGATTATCTGGAGGTTGAGTCATGGCAACTGGACTTCTTTCTTGTTAGGTTGAAACGTTTCACTACTGAAGAAGCTGCTTGGATGAGCAGCAAAACGTTTCAACCTAACAAGAAAGAGGTTCAGTTGCCATGACTCAACTTCCAGATACTGCCTAGATTAGCAAAATAAGCAGTGTTTCAAAATGCAAAGTACTTCTCAACAGAAGAGAACCATGGCATGGAGCAGTAAACAAGATAATTGGGATAGGAAGAGAGGGAGAGGCACAAAGCCACCACAGGTTATCATTAAGGCTTGCAGAATTCCCCTCACCAAAATTCCAGCACCACAACAGTCTAACAAATACTGTGAGTTACAAACAGTTCTCTTAATATTAGAGGCCAATATGAAAGACCTGCCTAGACTTCACCTCTTCCTCTCCCACAGCGTGGTTTGAATAGCTGCTGCTGCACTGAGACACAGACCAAGGAACCTTAATATTCCCCATATGTTGCAAGTCTCTCACACAATTTCTTCCCTTTTCTAAAGTGAAATAAGACTGTTGCCCTCTGTACATGCCAGGACAACTGGAGGCAGAAGATGAAACTTATTTCATTTCATGAGTGGTTTCAGCAGATGACAGAAACAAGGGAGGTATTTTACACCAACTCTGCTTTCTGCAAAGGCCACTTGAAGGTGGATCAGTTCTTCTCCTCCCTCTGTCATATGCTGAGGACTTGGAGAATGATTGTGTATATATCAATCAATCAAAAAAGTTCAATAGTTTAAAGAACTAGAATGTACACTTTACTGAGATGACAACAGGAATAAAAATTGCATACTGTTTGGAACAACACCATAAGCATATATTTTAAAATACATTGTTTATGGAATTATAAAACAGCCAAATCAGCTCTAAATTATAAAGTAGACCAATTAAGTAGCAGATGACCTAGTACTTCAGACTATTAAAGTCTGTTGCCCATAAGCTCTGCTTCATTTGAATAAAATCAATTTTAATGGGCTTTTGCTCATGTTAGCAGCAATTAATCTGTCATAAGGGTCATTTAAAAATGCAACTCCCATAATTCAATATCTCTGCATGTAACTGATGTTCAGTACATTTTTCCTTTAATACATAGAAGGCAGAGGCAGAATTCTGATTAGTGTTCCACTGTAAAATTAATTAAGTTGAAGTGCAAAAGAAGAATACATCACTTGTTTCTTCGCTCAAAAATTCAATTTCACTAAGCTAGCACTTGTTAACATACCAATAAGGAATATTTTTCAGATTTCTACCGTACCAAAAAGTGCTTCATGCGAGCCAATTTTTGCACCTTCAGTTGTTGATGAACTCCCCTTTCCTGACTACTGGCTAGAACTGCTGCAAGGCAAAGTGCAAGAACTGGAGGGGCACAAGTGCTCCACTCAGCAACAAGGCAATGAAAATCTAAACAGCCTTAAAAAGCAGTATTTACCTGTAATGCCGGCGGGCTACTAGCCCTGATGCAATTCTTCCTTCCCTTTCACCTACACCACAGTTGCCCAGAAAATTATTGCTATCCATAATTGCTAGTTCATGAAGAAAAAGTTCAACGGTGCTTTCATCCCATGCATCTTCAGGACATTTGCCCTTCAAAAAATAAATAAAAACAAAATAAAAACAAAACAAAACAAAGCACAAGCAAATACAATGCCGGTGAAGCATACATAATCAAACATTGTTCTTTTTTCCTTCTTTTTTCCTTACAGAAGGGCTGAGGAACATGTGTTTCTTTAGATGTTTTCAGACTTTAACTCCTAGTAATTAGGGATGATTAGAGTTGGTCTAACTACACCTCAAGGACCACAAGGTTCTCAAACCTAGGTGGCTGAACTATTGTAATCAGTATAATCAGACTTACATCAGTTTCATCATTTTTGAGGCTAACACACTTAAAGTTTGTCACTGCTTTCAGTGGGATTTAGTTATATCTCATGATGACAGCTGAATCATGAGTTGGTCTTCACAATTCTATGGCTATGATGATGAAGAAAAAACAATCCAAGAACTGAATGCTACAGGCATTTGGTTTGAAGGAGGTTCTGAGTTTTCCTATTCTCAAGAGCAGAAACAAAGCACTATAGCACTTTTACTTTCTTCACGTGTGACTTGTGCTATTGCAGTCTCACTAACACTCTGCAGAAAAGAAACATTACACTCCTAGATTAGAGGGAAGAGCTGGTCACTATTCCTCCTGAGCAATATTTCCTGCTGGAGCAAAACTGTGTGCCTAGAAAGCTTCCCCCCTTAAACAGTAGGACCTCCATATCCATGGGGGGGGGGGGATGGATTCCAAGTCATGTTCCGATGGATTCTGAAAACCACATATAATAGTGAATGCTATATGTAGCATGGTAAAAGAAAAAAACAAAACAAAAAAAGTATTTTCACCATGTATTACCAGAACTGTCCAGTACAAGGAGCCAGAGACCAAGCAATGCATTCTTTAATAATAAGAATGCATAGTATGGTCTCTGATTCTCTCTAATGGCCAGTTCTAGTAAATACATTGTGAAAATATGTACAGTAGGACTCCCATATCCATGGCGGATTGGTTCAAAGCCCACTCCCCACAGATGCTAAAAAACATGGATTATAGCGAACATCTCCCTCTCCAAGCCAGACACCTGCCCCAACTATCCAGAAGGTATAGAGACAAAACCCCTCTTCTGATCCACGCAAACCTGACTCAAAGGGAGGGTGGAGCGAAGAGGCCTCCACCTTGGGAGGGCCCCTCACCTGCATGCTGAGCTGTTAGCCAGCATGCTCTCAGGCCTCAACGCAAAGCAAGTTCAGTGGAGGCACCCCCGTCCTGCCTAGATTGCCCTGCCCTGACACTTTTTCCCCCCTCTGGGTAAACCAACATGCAGGAGGAGCTGCTCCAAAGGCTCCCAGTAGAAAGCTTGCAAGAGAGAGGCCTTTAAGCAGCCAGAGATCATGCTATGTATTTGTCACGTTTACCTATTTGGCCCTTGATTGTTTCACCAAACACAGAGCTCATGCGAGTATCCCAACATGTCCTTTACCTCGCTGCCACCAGCTGACCTCTGTCAAAACCATTTACTTAGAAAGATCGAGGTCCAAGCTGAGTATAAAGTTGAACAACACAGGTTTACTGATTACAGTTCGCTTAAACAGGTTCTTCACAGACTTGAATGTATTCATTTGATTATTATTAACTTGTTTCACTCTTTACTCTCTTAGCTCTCTTTAAGTTCCACTGGAAGACAGAAGGGCCTGGCATGCTCTGGTCCATGGGGTCACTAGGAGTCGGATACGACTCAACGACTAAACAAAACAAAATAAGTTCCACACTCTCAACTCCTCACTCTGCTACCCTCTCTAAATACTACAGACTAACTTCTACTTCAGAATCTCATCTCTGACTCTCTCTCTCTCTCTTCCCTATCTGCTCCCTATCTGACTCCTCCAGCCCTCTCATAGGTTCATGTAAATTAGCTCATGAATATGAGTGACATGGATGATCGCCACAGTATTCTTCATAGCACAGTCTCCAGTTCTGGTAAAACATTTGTGGGTGGGTGGGTGCGTGGGGGGGGGGTCGCATTTTTTTCTTTTAATATTTAATTTAATATTTGCAGGCCATGGATAAATGAATCAGTGGATACTGATCCCACATATAAGGGAAGCCTACTGTTTTTCTATTTTTTTAAAAAAATATTTTTTAAATATTTTCAGACCACAGATAAGTGAAACCACGGATACCAATCCCATAGATATGGGGTCCTACTGTATACCTACTGTAGAGTCTCTATATCAAGATGCAGATGTCCAACGTACACACAATTTCTACCAACTCTGAATACAAGTGAGAGGTGACTTATGCAACATTCATTGAAGAGGGCAGGCCAATTTCCCTACATTGTATAAAGCACAACCCCCAGATTCTCAACTCTCATTTGAAAAAAAAAAAGTTACCTGCTCTTGTGGAAGCCAACATACGAGCCAAAATGTGTGGCCACTATTCTATCTGTTTTGTAAGCACCTAACATTCCCTCACAGTATTTTTCTTTTCACTAAATTACATCACAGCAATAATAGACATGTCTGGAGTATTCCTACACTATACCGTTGCAGCAGTCTGACACCAGTTTAACCCTCAGGCCTCCATCTTGTGGAATCTTGGGGCTTGGATTTTGGAAGAACTTTGAATTTTCTGCTAGAGAGATCTTGTGCATTTCCCTAACCTACAGCAGAGAATCCACAGAACTTCCCCAAACTGCAAACTCCAAGAGTCCACAGGATGGAGGTATAGCAGTTAAAGTGGTATCAAACTGATTTCACTATGTAGTGGAGACACTGAATAAATAATGTTCTACTTCACTTTAAAGCTATGTAAATAGTCTTCCTAAATGGAAAATGATTGTCATTCTACAAAAAAGCAGAAACACATATTTTAGTGTAGCTTGGATATGGCAGTAGAGGCTCCCTCTTACTCAGCCCTCTAAAAAGACTGCAATGAAGACATCTCGGGAAAATTGTAAGGAAAAAAACCAAAACAAACAAAGAACAAAATATATTCTCAAAGGCTTTCATGGCCAGAATCTGGGCTGTTTGGCTGTGTTCTTAAGGTTTTTCTTCCTAACGTTTCGCCAGTCTCTGTGGCTGGCTTCTTCAGAGGACAGGAGTCAGAGCACAGAGAGAGTTCTGACCCCTGTCCTCTGAAGTTGCCGGCCACAGAGACTGGAGAAATGTTAGGAAGAAAAACCTTAAGAACATGACCAAAAACCATGGAAAACCCACAACATGCAAAGAACAAAATATTGTGGCATGTTAAAGAGTGACAGATTTATTTCACTGCCAGCTCCAAAATAAACAGACAGTGGTTAGTTTGATTCATTCACTGTGTGAGCTTTCATGGATCAAAATCCACTACTTGATCAACAAAAGTAAACACACTAAAATAGATACATTTGTCTTTAATATGTCACAGTATATTCTCTCTCTCTCTCTCTCTCTCTCTCTCTCTCTCTCTCTCTCCATCTTTCCCTACCTTTTTTCCTTTAATTTCACCAACATTTTGAGACAAACTAACACGGCTACTACTTTGAAAATAATAATAAAACCGGCAACTTCCAATACTTCCAATTCAAGTCTAAATGTTGTTTTTCCTTCCAGAATGTATAAACATTTTTTAAAAAATGGCCCTGTTAATTAATGAGATGGGGAGGAAACCATCTTACATTACTGGGGCTTTTTTTCAGAAATAAAGTATGATGTTACAGAAACATTTGACCAGTTCAAAATTCAAGTAAAGACTGTTTTGTTTCCTAATATATTAAATTACCCAGTGTGGTAATAGATAGTATAATGGACTAGAACAGTGGTTCCCAGCCTTAGGTAACCCCAGGTGTTCTTCAACTGCAATTCCCAGAAGCCTTCACCAGAAGTTGGGTTGACTGAGGTTTCTGGCAGTTGCAGTACATGAACACCTGGAATACCCAAGGTTGGGAACCACTGAACTAGAACTCAGGAGACCTGGGTCTGACTTCCTGGCTTTGCCATGGAAAGTCACCGGGGATGAGGAGGTTTAGAGGTGGAAATGGCAAAAACACTCCTTAAATAATTCAGTTACCTTGAAAACTCTATTAGGATCTCTGTAACTCCATTATGACTTGACAGTAGTAAGTGGCTCAGAACAATACAAAAAGTAAAACGAGCAGACCAGAATTCTCTAGAACTCCCTCCCCCATTTATCAAGTCTTCCTTCTGCTATCATCACCAGAGTGCTCAAAACTGTTTCCAAGACGGAGGGAATCATTCTGTAATACAGGGAAATTTTTCTTTGGTTTCAAGACTGCTCTGCTGAGCTTACATACTTGTTTTCTCCTCCCCCTTTTAAAAAAATTCTAAAAAACTTTTGTTGGGAGTTTATGATGCACACTCATCTGCATTAGAATCACAGAAACATGAAGTTGTACAATGTAGAGTTAGTAGCCCAAGAGCCCATCTTGTGCAGTCCTGTGTCAATAATGTATGGGATCCAAGAGCTGATTAGACACAGGTCTAATTAGGACACAGGTCCTGTCCAGTTCTCAAGATTTTACAGTGGTACCTCGACTTACAAACTCAATCCGTATTGGAACAACGTTCGTACGTTGAAAAGTTCGTAAGTCGAAGTACCATTTCCCACTGAAATGCATGGGAACAGAATTAATCCATTCCAGCATTTCAAAAGGCAGAAAAGCAGGGGGAAAGGGCTGGAAATTCCAATTTCCCACCCTTTCTACCTGCTTTTTTGGCTTCGGAGGTCTCAAACAGCTTCCTCTGACATCAGGGGAAAGCCCTTTGAGAGCTCCGAAGCTGCCGATTGCAGCAACAGGGCCCCCCAGGGAAGTCTCCCAGGGCTTGCTCGCCACCATGGGAGACCTCCCTGGGGGTCCCTGCCGCCGCGATGGGCACCTTTGGAGCTCCCAAAGGGCTTCCTCCGATGTCGGGGAGAAAGCCCTTTGAGAGCTCCAAAGGCAAAAAGGCAGGGAGAAAGGACAGGAAATTCAAAGTTCCTGCCCTTCCTCCCTTCCTTTGGAACTTTCAAAGGGCTTCCTCTGATGTCGGGGAAAAGCCCTTTGAAACCACCAAAGGCACCGATCATGGCAGCGGGGACCCCCAGGGAGGTCTCCCATGGTGGCGGGCAAGCACTGGGAGACCTCCTTGGGGGTCCTTGCTGCAGCAATTGGCGGCTTCAGAGCTCTCAAAGGGCTTTTCCCCAACATTGGAGGAAGTCCTTTGAGAGCTCCGAAGGCAAAAAGGCAGGGAGGAAGGGCGGGAAGTTCAAATTTCCAACCCTTTCCCCCTGCCTTTTTGCAGGGAGCCATTTACAAACTGCTCTGCTGGCAAAAAAAAATGGCATTGACTTGCATTCATAGGTCAAGCTCTGTTCGCAAGTCGATGCCAATTTTTGCCAACGGAGCTGTTCGTAAATCGAAAAGTCCGTATGTAGGGCCATTTGTAAGTTGAGGGTTGACTGTATTCTGAACGGTGTAGCAGACATCTAAATGTCTGTTAAAGCACAACATATGTGTCCACACCCCAAAAGGAAAATCACAGGAATGTTGTAGTAATGTGGTATGTGCATAAATTACAAACATTGTGCAATCTTGTCCACCCCACCCTCATAGAAAAATTTCCATAGACACTCATGACCACTTTTGCGTGCATTTTCTCCCCATTTTATACCAGCAGCCCAGATATGTGTAGTTTTATTCTGTAATTCCAGGCAGAGAAATGTATACAACATTCATTGCTCAACTTAATACGTCACACAGTTCAGATCCTGTCTACAATTTATAGAGGGACCCTGCAGCCCTCTCATCATTCAAGACCTTTTTGCCATCCTGTGACTGGTGGGAGTTACATTAGTGCAATTAAAAACCCATTTCAGTCTGCGGTTTCACCAACCCCAGCAAACCCTGCATCCATGCACCCCTCCCTTGTCCTCTTCTTCCACAGGGATGGACGCCAACTAGGAAACCCTGCCAGGCCACCGGCTAGTCTCTTTCAGGCGGAGCTACCCTGCAGGACTGTTGTGAGAACAAAAGAGGGTCGTGACGAACAGCGCACATCGCCCTGACCCCACGGAAAGAAAAACAGCATAAAAACCCAAGCCATGCACAAAGCAAACAGAGCATGGAAAGCGACGGAGGCGTCTCCCTCTACCCCCTCGCACAGCCTTTCCTTGCACAGACAACCATTCTCCACCCTGAACGCGAGGGAACCACCAGGGGGCGTGGCCTCGATCCCGATGGGGGCGTGGCCTCCAGACCCAACTCAGTGCCTCCCACCTGCCCCTCAGCACCCACGAAAGCAGCACTCCCGCCGGCATTACCTGCTCCAGAAGAGCGCGCAGCCGGAGCTCGTGCGCTCGGCGGCCCTGCGAGCCCTGCCTCACGTAGGCCGAGTTCACCAGCCTTTCGCTGCTCTGAAAGTTCTCCGCATTCATGGCGGAGATCAAGGAAGACCAACCAGGCAGTGAGCGAACTTCTGTGCGCATGCGTACTTACCTAGAGTAACTGCGCCGCTCCGCCCTCCATCGGCTTGTGAGGGCTGTCGGAGAGGTACGTGCGATATTTAGCGCCCTCTTTAGGCTGGGAGGGCGAAAAGGAGTTGACTCTTAGTCTACGGAACGATGACGTCCTCGTAGAATTCTTATTACAGCATATTTAGTATGCTTGATACTTCAAGCCTGTGTATTTTTCATGGAGGAAAACTATTTTTGAATTCCCAAAGTACCAGTGGTGTCATCACAACCTTGGGAGCAAAAATGTCCCAGAAGTCTCCCTAAAGCTGAGTATAAATAAAACGATAGATGGAGAGGAGACTAATCTTGACAAAAAATACAGTTCGAGCCCTTGTACAGTACTTACATGTAACGTTTCCACAGACTTACTGCTCTCGTCAGTAATCCCTACTTCTGTAAATGTGCAGTTTAAATTGTCATGACGACGTTTTTGCGTTTCATGAAATTTAGGGTACCCGCACTGTTTATTTGTCCCACTTCTCATCTCTGTATTTCCAAACCTGTCAACTAAAGATAGCACCTCAGCGGTTTTCAGGAGCAAATGTCAGCATATACCTGATAATGTCAACACCTTTTCATAAAAATCTCCATTATAATAAATTTGTTTTCAAGTCTATTGGTTTTGTTTAATATGGCTACCCCTCTGGACTGGAAAGCTGGACTAGATTCAGAGGAAGGAGGAGTAAAATTGGTGGAAGAAACATCAATAAATTAAGATAGGCAGATTATACCATTTTACTGTCAGAAACCAGCAATGACTTGAAACAACTTTTAGTGAAAGTGAAAGAAGAAAGTGCCAAAGCAGGACTGCAGTTGAACATTAAGCACTACTACTTGCAGTTTCAGAAATCCGTGGGGGGGGCTTGGAACCTATCCCCCCACAGATGTGGGGATCCTCGTGTAGCGCAATGGTTTGTGTAACCAAGCACGCTTCTAGGAAATACTCTGGAACCTCATCAATTAGCTAGAATCAGCAATGGCATTTGGGGCAAATTGTATACAAATATTTATTTAATATTTTTATTGAAAATATTTTTATTCCACCTTTCTCCTTCAGAAGCACCCAAGGTAGCTTACATCATTAAAAGACTGCTAATAATAGTGTCTATACAAATACAAAAATGGTCATACTAAAAAACATAAGCAATCCCAAAACACATTCAAAGCAGTAAGATAAGTAAGATACAACAATCCATTTAAAAACCCACGCAGGCTGGCAGGCAGACATTCAGGGAAAGCTTGCCTGAAGAGAAAGGTCTTTGCCTATTTGTGGAAGGAATATTAAAGACAGAGCCTGTGTACTCACCAAGTGAAGGTGGCAGGACCTAGAGAAAGGCCTCTCCTGATTATCTTTACATGCATGCTTATAAAGTAAGATGTGGTCCTTGAGATCTTGGGCCCAAACCAATTATAGGTTAGAACCAGCACTTTGAATTGTGCCTGGAAACAGATCAGCAGTTAGTAGAGCTGCTGTAATGGGGGTTACACCCTGTGACTAGCCCAAGTTAAGCAGTCACTACAATATAGGCAGTTATAACTGCTTGTAAGCTGCCCCGAGTAGACTCTGTCTAGAGGGGTGGGTTAGAAATCAAATAATAAATCTGGCTGCAGTGTTTTGTACCTAATGAAGTTTCCTGACACTTTTCATAGGCAGCCCCATGTAAAGTGTGTTACAGTAATCCAGCCGGGATGTAATTGAAGCATGTGTCGTCATGACCAGATCAGACGTCTCCAGGAACAGGTGCAGCTGGTGCATTAATTTTAATTGTGCAAATGCACTCCTGGCCACTGCTAAAACCTGGGCATCCAGACTCATAGACTAATCCAGGTGAATATATGTGGATTACGGTAGTTGTTCTTTATTAAGATCCAATTGATTAAGTACCTTTTCAATCTGTTTCATGGACAGCATTCTGTTCAAATTTTATGCATGTGCAGACCTCCAACTGTGGAAGTTACCATGTCAATATGATGTCAGTTGTGTGCCATGAAGCACACTTCCAGCACCCAGTCAAAATGCTGTTTCATCGTCCCTTGTTGGAAATCTGCATTGGCCAGAATATCACCAGAGGGCGCCAACCCACAACACAAATCAACAAAAAATTATTTCCCCTGTATACAGTATGCAGTATCTGGTATCTGTAGTCTTGGAGGGAATGTAAAGAAATGAGTATATTTAGGCAAATGAAAATTATTAGCTTGAAATCTATTTGAAATCAAATAATACTTGGAATTCTATTCTATTGGTGTTTACCTAAGGTTTGCATTACTAATTGACAGGATGCTAGAGTTGTGCAATCTGGCAAATAATGAGGCATATGGCCAAGACTTACCTCAACAACTAACTGAAGCAAGTTATGTAAACCTTATGTGAACACCACTAGGATTCTAGTAGGTATATTATTCAAAAACACAAGTGAATCATGATTGCATGATAGTAGATGCAAATACTCAAACAGATGAAGAAATATTGTTCAGCCTCACCATATAAAGTATCTACTATATATATGGCTGCACTTTTAATCTAGGAGCTATTAATTATGTCCAGAGCAACCACAGCATGTGTACTTTAAACTAGATCTCAGTGGAAACAAAACAGAACATTGAGCAAAACAAGAGTAAATACAAAAAGCATAAAAGAAAATGTTGGTCCTGTTTCAAAACTGGCAAGGTGAGTTCCAGCCCAGAATTTCTGATTGCTAGAGCTAGCAGCCTAGAGCAATTATGCTAAAAGTCATATTCGGGACCTGGTGGCTTGAGCTAAAAGGATCACATAGGAAATAATATAGAAGCTTTCCAAGAGCAACGTGAGCTGCTGCCACAGGACGCAAAAGTTGCGGACAGCTTGCTATCGTCATGCTTGTATAAAAGAAAATAATAGTAAGATTATAAAGCAGGAATGCCATATTAGAAATGGAAGTTTGGGGGGTTATTCAAGAGTGGTGAACTTAATAGGTACATTGTGTCTGATACCATAATTATGAATGTATACTTGTAGAGTAGTATTGCATTGATAAGGATTTATTATAGTACAAAATAAAGCTGACGGTGCTATTTTCCTAATCAGAAGAGGATGCTTACTCTCAATAATATGTTGAGGTCGTTCAAAATAAATGTGTAGTTGTTTACACTGGACATTTTTTTCCTAAGATACCGTAGTAAAGCATTCTTTACTCCTTTGTTTTATATGTGTTGTTAAAGTTCCCTTGATACAGGATAAGAAGATAGAGTTACTGACGGTCCCGCTCGCAGGTCATTCATTCCTCAACCACCCAGAAGAGCATCGCCGGCGAGGTCTTCAGTTCAGGTAAGCACTTTTGGAAGGGGGTTCCCCCTCACCGCCTCCCTGTCGTCCCCGCGCCTGCGCAGTGAGGAGTTTGCATTGCCAGCGCAAAGTTGTGCGGCCGTTGAGCGTTCTTCGCCGGGCGCTTATGGGGGTGGGCGCCGGCGCGTGAAGGGGGGTGGGCGGCGGTTTGATCGTCCCCAACGCCCCTCCCCCCTCCCTTCCTCCCGCCACATGGCGGAGTCTGGCCCTGGCCGTGAGGAGGAAGCCGACGAAGAGCTGCTGCAGCTGGGGACCGAGCCGCCGT